GAAAGGCCCTAAAGCTGACAGACGAGCACTAAATGCCATAAAACTCTTTTGATTTCACAAGGTTTGTAAAGTGATTTACGAGTGATTATTGTGGCTTCATGATGGTGTTAGACAGATAATCTGGGTTCAGTCTCTGCTACCAGAAGAAAGAGCAAAGCAACAAATCGTTGTTTACCGCCAGAATCCACTCAGTGACCATGGCAACCTCATTCCCAGCTGACCTAATGTAGAGGTCAAATGGTTCGCTGCATTACATCACCGCGGAATTTTCAATCTTCTGCACGACTGACGGATTCCAACGTGCCGAAACGGAACAAGGAACTCGTTTTGATATCAGTTCTGGAGATTTGTTTTCCACGGTAATGAAAAAAAAAAGTTCAGGTAATGGAATAGTTTAATATATATTGATTTTATAATGTTGTGGAAAGGTTGTTTGCTAATAAGAACCGAATTGGTTTCTTTCTCGGCGTCTGGCCTCCGCCAGGCAATCAGAAATAGCCATGTGGATCTGTGGAGAAATTTAGACTTCTCGCGCTCACATACACACGCGCAATTTATCTTGGAGCAAATGGAAAAGCACTGAGAGAGAAAATAATTTCACCACACCATCCTCAGTGGTTTCCGAGACAAGACATTCTGTGAATTCATCAGGGTTGAAATATTATCACAGCTTAACAGCGGCGGATGAGATGATTCACTGTACGACCCAACACGTTTAAAAAACAGATGGACCTAAAACACAGAGAAAGACACAGATGATATATACAGACATGCGTGTTTAAGATATGAGTCTATGAAACAGATGCCTTTTTCAGTTTTTCAAGTTGAATGTAACTTAAGTAGCGATTGATATTTTCTTCGATATTGTGAAGTACATCTAAGTGAAACAGATTAGAGAAATATAATTAAGGGTGGGGACTTAGTTGTATGACGAAGAAAGGGGCGGAGTTTAAGCATATTTTATGAGCAAGGAACTTATGCTAATTTTACATGACAATGACTGTACTAAGTTTCGCATACAGACAACAATGTTGTCAAAACGATCCTCGTTCACACTGATCCACGAAAACGACTACAAATACTGTATTTTGCATGCCAGGCCAGTAGCTGGCGATGCCACTTTGTAAAGAAACACTACGCGCCTGCACATATGACTATAGACTGAACATGTAATACGTATGCACATGATGACACATGATTGTTTTCAAAAATTTTGAAACACATTTTCAAAAGTTTGCGTTTTTAGGTCCCCAAAATGGCATTGTTGTGTAAATGAACGGCCAAAACTCATGAACATTTTCATTTTTAGTTTGAAACGGTGTCGTGTAAATGGCGCCTAAATGATTGGAAAAGATCTGCATACATCACCAGAAAGAAAGCTGTCATTTCACTAGAAGAACGAGTTATGATATTTTACTCTAATTACAAGGTCAAAAAACGAAATAAAATAAACATGACATGGATAGATCGTTCACAATAAGATCTATAACATGCATAAAGAAAATATATAAAATCCATGTAAAATCACGTTTAAAGGATTAATAAGATTGGTATTTATATTTAATGTGTTGTGCCATCTCACACTAAATTAATACATTTTAATATATGTTCTGGTATAACGGTGCCTTCAGTATAATAGTAACAGGATTACAGTTTAATATGATTTTATCAAACATGAAACATGACATTTTTCTAAAGAGAAAGACTTTATTTCTTCTTCAGAACAGGTTTGGAGAAATTTAGCTATTGTATCACTTGCTCAGCAATGGATGCTCTGCAGTGAATGGGTGCCGTCAGAATGAGAGTCCAAACAGCTGATAAAAACATCACAATAATCCACAACACTCCAGTCCATCAGTTAACATCTGGAGAAGACAAAAGTGGCGTGTTTGTAAGAAACATCCATCATTAAGACGTTTTTTAATTTCAAACTGTTGCTTCTGTCTGAAATACGAGTCCATAATCTGTAATATTGCTTTCTCCAGTGAAAAAGTCACCCCGTCTGAATCAGGAGAGAAATCTGCACAGATCAAACACTGTTTACAAGCCAAAGCAGACCTAAACAGTTAAAACGTCTTAATGATGGACTTGTTTTTTACAAACACGCAGCTTTTGGTTTCTCAAGACATTAACTGATGGACTGGAGTGGTGTGGGTTACTGTGGATTATTGTGATGTTTTTATCAGCTGTTTGGACTCTCATTCTGACGGCACCCATTCACTGCAGAGGATCCATTGCTGAGCAAGTGATGCAATGCTACATTTCTCCAAATCTGATGAAGAAACAAACTCATCTTGGATGGCCTGAGGGTGAGAACATTTTCAGCAAATTTTCATTTTTGGATGAACTGTTCTTTTAAGTGTTAAAAGTCCCTTATTTATACTCTTTCGCATCTTCATTTAATTTTTGGTTTGGTCACGCAATTAAACGTTTATCCCCACAGATATGTAATTTGTGTTTGTGTGGCACACCTGCTGTAATTAAGAGCAACCCGCGCATGCCGTCAAACACCTATGATTTAATGTGTCAGCTCAAACGGGACTCCCTTAACGACTTCAAACCAGACTTCACACACTGCTCTCATTTACATATTAATGACATTTTCATGCTACGTTTCACTTTACGCAGTGTCACTAACCGCGGAGAGACAGTGGAAGAGAATAGAAGAAAAGGCCGACGCATAATAACAAGCTGTAAAACGGTGAAGGTAGCTGTGAACAAAATCATAATTGCACGCTGGTGAATTATGTGGCCCCCCGAGCACCTGTTGAGCTGTAAATGTACAGCAGATGTAGACGAGCAATAAAAACAATAACAGAAGAATAGTGTGAACTAGCGCTAACGGTCGCAGATAAATGCGAGTAGTGACTAGCATGTGGTTTAAATATGAATGAGGGGCTGTTGGTGTGTTTCTGATAACAGTAATCCACAAAACACAGTGTTTCCTGCTGTGAGATAAAGAAACTAATTCAAGGGAGGAAAAAGAAGTGAAAGTGCTGAATATAAAGCAGACAACTCTACATGTATACTTGCATAATTCTTCTATGGTTTACTACGGTAATATTTTATAAGGACATTCTTTTCTTAATGAATTGCACAATAAACATTCAGAATCTCCCCTTGTCAAAGATAATTTATTAAAATTAGATGAATGAGCCATATGTATCATTAGTGGCTACACTTTGAGTACTAAATTATGTAAAATTAATGTGTTGTGAAAGCATTTTTATAAATTTCGTATATTTTAGCAGTATTTATATAATATTTATAATATTTTGAATTAGCTGTGTAGTATAGTATATTTTATATAGTATATAAAATATACTATATTTATATTTAACTAAACTTAGTTTAAGTTATTTGCTTTTGCCATTTTTATAGTTTTAATGTATTTTTTGTAGTTTTAGATTTGAAAATATAAAAATCTTAGTAATTTATTTGTTATATTTTATTTAAGTCTAAGTTTTTCATCTAATATTTATATTTTAGAAAAAAATGTATGAAAATGAAATATTGTTACTATACTTTTTAAGATTTCCATGGTTTATATGGTAATTTTTTTTTTTTTTTTTACATTTTTATACTTTTATACTTATGTCCAGTAATTTATTAATTCATTTTTTTGGAGGACCGGAATGATAGTGGAATGTTTGAAGCAGCAGGGAACTTCACACAGCTCCAGAGATCTGTTGAAGAGCTGTGTGAAGATGGGGGCCAGTTGGTAAGCACAGACTTTTATACAGGCAGGTGAAACAACGTCTGGGCCTGAAGCTTTCCTAGACTTGAAGTGCAGTGCAGATCAGAGCGGGTGTGGGGTGAGAGACTGGGCTTTTCAAACTGGCAGTAAAACATATTCAGATCGTCAGCCAGCTGTTGATTCTCCACAGACTGTGGGGGTGGTGTCTTGTACTTAGTGATGTTCCTCAGACCAGTCCATACTGACGCCGGGTCGTTGGCTGAAAACAGTTTTTTCAGCTATTTGGAGTAGCTTTTTTTAGCCACTCAGATCTCCTTTGTCAGTCTGTTTCTGGCCTGGTTATATAAGATTTTGGGCCCTATTTTAAAGATGTAAGCGCATGGTCTAAAGCGCACGGCGCAATTGCGCTTGGTTAAAAAAAAGTGGTCCGAATCCCTTTGAAAGCCAGTTGCGCTCGCGCCATGGCGGATTCGCTATTTACACGCCGGAATTTACAAGTGAAAAAAAAAAAATTCTAATTCTGACACATGCGCGTAATTCTGATACATGCAAAGACTATCCATTATGACATGTAGACATTTTTGTATTTATGTACACAATAATAATCTTTTACATTTTAATCCTTTAATTTTTCATTTTTAAAAATGTTTGTGTGCTGCTGCGCGTTAAAAAACTATTTTAGACTTCAGACTTTAGACCAGGTTTTTGTTGGTCAATAGCGCCGTCTATTTTCAGTTGCCTCAAAATAGCAACGCACCAGCAATGCGCCTGAACACACCTCGTTTTCAGACCAGCACGCCCATGGGTGCACAAATGGGCGCAAATGCATTTGCTATTTAAACAACGTGGCGCAGGATGTGAAAATGACAACTGCGTCGGGCTGAAACTAGCAAAAAACACGTGCGTCGCGTCTGGCGCCGCATTGCATCAGGTGTATGATAGGGCCCTCTATCCGCACTTCTGTAAGCATCCTCTTTGGCATGAAGAAACTGTTTGAGTTTCCCAGTAAACCACAGTTTATCATTATTGAATGATAAGAATGTCCTAGTATGAATGCACATATCCTCACAGAAACAGATGTATGAAGTTACAGTCTCTGTGAGCTCGTCCAGATCGGTGGCTGCAGCTTCAAAAACACTCCAGTCAGTGCAGTCGAAGCAGGCTTGTAAATCCCGCTCTGCTTCAGTAGTCTATCTCTTTACAGTCCTTAGTACAGGTTTAGCTGATTTCCGCTTCTGCCTGTAGGTCGGTATAAGATGAACCAGGCAGTGATCAGAGAGCCCCAAAGTTGTCAAAAGTACAGATGTCGGTAACAGCTATGTCTGTGATTGGCTACAACGATCATCGCTTTACGCTCTTTGCCGAGCACTTACACAGATACACACGGGAGCATTTGAAAGCCACGTCTATCAGCGTATCCCTAATATATCTGCTCATAGACGGATCTGCTGATAGATGCGGCTTTCAAATGCTCCTGTGTGTATCTGTGTAAGCGCTCGGCAAAGAGCGTGAAGACTGGAAAGACTGGAGAAATATTGTCTGGGATGTGTTGCTTAATATCAAGGAGTTCGTCTCTGGTAAAACTTATAGAAGAAGAATTACTAAACAGAACAAATGAACAAAAACAGCAGAAGAATTGCGGAGCTCAGTGCTGTGGCTGCCATTTGTGGTGCCATCTTGATCTTGATGTTTTGACCTTGATATTTATATAAATTTATGTAAGTATCTGCTATACTTTTATAAAGATCTCATTGATTTACATCAGAATTTCATCACTTTTTGTCCATATAAATATCAGTATCTCCACCAAATTGCATATTTATTTGGGCCTTTGAATAAAATTGAGCTGGTTTTTCCTCCATATTCTCATTATATCAGAATATAGGAGCCATAAAAGCCTGATGTATCAAATATGATACTTAACAAAAACACATATGCAAACTTTTCTTTTAGATATTTTTAGATATTTTCTGAAACAAAGCCTTTTTGCTTTATGATATTCGCAGAGTATCAGCTCTGAAAGGCAAGAAGAGCAAAACTTTGTGAAAACTTTGAGTGTTTGAATTCATGCAGGTCACAGCAGATGTTAATCAGACTCTTTCTCTCTCGACCACATGCTGATTTACCTGATCTGCCAATCTCTCCAACCTATTTATCAATACTTGTGCGAGAAGAGACGCCATCATTTCACAGGTCAATTCACTCTAATTATGGCGTGGCGATTTAATCTGCCTTTAAACAGCCAGACGGACACTTTAGAAAAATTTCATTAACCTCCCAATTTTCAATCTCTTCTCTTTATTAGACGGGGCATCCTGCTACCGCTGGCATGCTGATGAACAAAAGGGATTTAGATCAAACAGACAGAGGGAAAACAAGAGAGAGAGACCAGCATTTCAAAACCGGCCTATCCAGACAGCATTTTAAGGCATCAGAAGCCAAAGCTTTTCCAAAAGGTGAGCAGAATAATGAAGATACATTTAAAAAAGCAGCACTGCATGTTTCCTTCAGAGAATGCAATCCCACAATGCATTTTTTTGACCAGTGGTTTTCGACTGGTTAAGCTGGTTTTTGCACCTATTAAATCTTTCAATTTTTTCTGTCAGGCTCCAAGGGACATGCAGGTAATCAGGTATATGATTGTAATTTGTGTGATTTAAAGCAATTTGCTGGTGATTTCTTCTTGATTGGCACATCAGTCCTGATGTCAAAGTGACGTGACGGGTCAGGAGAGCCACAACGGTAATGCTCAGGTTCAGAAAAGTGAGCGATTTTGCATTTGTCAAACCTGATAAGAGTGGCCCGACTCTTCCTCATCACGTTGCTGCGCTTGTCGGATTTTTAATTGAATTTCCAGTGGAAGTCTAATCAGACGATCATATACCTGATTACCTGCGTGACCTTTGGAGCCTGACAGCAAAAATTCACAAGTCTGATTGCTTAGAAAGCCAAGCAATAATAATAATAGCGATTCTTGACTCAATTTTTATGTTCTTGGATGTATGAATTTGTATTCTGTTTATTATATTTATAAATAAATATATATATATCATGCAGTGTTTAACAGCTCAATAGCATAATTATTATCTACTGTAATAGTAATGCAATATAAAAATTAACATGATTTGGTTGAGAAAGCTCATAAAAATGAGATTCATATTCATCGTATATGCATATATTACATATATTACAGAGATGCAGGGTTATTATAGTTAAATAAAACTAAAACCAAAACTACATACAGACATATTAAAAACACAAAAACTTTAACTTAACAAAATTACTATAACTAAAACTAAAGTGAAATCTGAAAATTAAAGTGAAAAAACTAAAAAAAAATCTAATTCAGAATATTAACAAAACTTTAATAGTCTATCAATGATACAAAAATAACACTGGACTGATGAGCAAATGTTCTAGTTAACTTCTTGTGAAGTGATTATATTATACACCTATTCCTAACCAGTGCTATTTTAGTATAATTAGTGTACTATTTTAGTATTTATTAATATTTTGAATGTTTATTTTTATATGTTCAGTTTTCATTTTGATTTTAAGTTTTAATAATTGTTGAATTTTTATTTTTTATATTTCTATATAGCTATTCTATAAGTTTAATTTGAAGTACTAGAATTACTAAATCTGAAATAAGAATAAATTAATTCTTATTTCAGATGTAGTAATTTCATCAAATTAAACTTATTTTATTTTATTTAGTTGCCAAAACAACATATCTTAAGTTTTCAGTTTTAGTAATTTTGTGCTTTTGTTATTTTAATTAGTGATATATTTCTATATAGCTTGAATTTATTCTTATTTCAGTTTTAGGTTTAGCCATTTTAGTACTACAAATTAAACTTATTTTATTTCACTTAAATACCAAGGCAAAATTTCATATTATATTTTAAGTTTAAGTTTTCCATCACATATTTATAGATTTAATAGTTATAGTTTTAATTAGCAATCACAGCATTGTTCCCAGTGCCCTTGCCGTGACCTCCGGACTGTGCAGCACAATACAGTAGATGCAGATTGGGAGGCGGGTTTGAACCAGTCTGTGGGGTTTGTGTTTTCGTGCTGTGCGGAGGCTTATTGGCTCCGCCCCTTGAGCAGATGTTAACACCGCACCCCCTCTGACCTCTCACACCTGTTTCAATTAGACGGCGTCACCTCGTACCCGTGCCTGCCGAGCTGAGACTGACACACACACACACACACACACACACACACACACACAGGTTTACATTTGTGAAAAGTGGGGACATCCCACAGGTGTAATGGTTTTTATACTGTACAGACCGTATATTCTATTGCCCTACACCAACCCTACCCCTAAACCTACCCCTTACAGGAGACTTTGTGCTATTTCAGATTTTCAATACACTTTTTATTTATAAGCGTTTTGAAAAGTGGGGACATGGGGTAATGTCCTGAAAAGTCACCTTCTCCTTGTAATACCTATGTCATACCTTTGTCATTATACAAATTTATGTCCTCATTTGTCACAAAAACGCGTACACACACACACACACACACACACACGCACACGCACACCCACACACACACATGCACACAAACACACACACTCTCTCTCACACACACACACACACACACTCACACACACACACGCACACGCACACCCACACACACGCACACACACACACACACACACACAGACACACACACACACCCTCTCTCTCTCTCTCACACACACACACACACACACTCACACACACACACGCACACGCACACCCACACACACGCACACACACACACACACACACACAGACACACACACACACCCTCTCTCTCTCTCTCACACACACACACACACACACTCACACACACACACGCACACGCACACCCACACACACGCACACACACACACACACACACACAAGCCCAAAGTGATGTAGTTCAGAAGCACTCAGCCATGTATAAAATATTATATATATTAAAAACTATATATAATATACTGTATATTTATGTAAAATATTTTATATACAATTTTATGTAATTGGGTCAAAGACGAAAAAGTGTTTAAGCATAAAAACAATAATTGTAATACTGCTTTAAATTGTTGTTGTTTCGCCCCCCCAAAAAAATTTTTGTTTAATTTAATTGCAATTTTGTTTTTGTTTTTCTGAGCAAAAAATAAATATCATACATTTTACCCTGATTTACAGAAGAGAGCCACTAAAATGTCATTCAGTGTAACAATCTTGTCAGGCATATTTATAACAAAAATCTATTTATGACATATTAAAAGACTAATTACTTTCACCCCAAATTCTAATTAGTTGTCATTTTACATTTTTTTAATTTTCCACTATCCTAGGTTTTGCCCATTTGTCAGTAAATTTTTTTTACTCATTTAAAACACAATCAAATTTAATATGCTCCCTTATTCTTTTATATAGTGCACACATCAGAATAAGCATCTTGTTTGAATTTTTACATAAATATTGTGTTACACAGAATTACAGTGTAACATTATTTCAACCAAATTTTGACATTTTATTCTCCCAAAATTTATTTGAAACCTTAAAAGTTGACACTTTACTTACATTTAATGTGCTTTCTATGGACATAAAATCACTTTTGTCAATTTCGTTTGATGTGGAAATCTTAATGTCTTTGACTCAATTTGAAGTACGTAAAAAAAGGAAATACTATTTCAGTCTTTCTACGTCAAAATTTCACATTTAATTCAATGTTTACTTGCCATTTTTACATTTTTTTTTTAATTCAATAGCAATTTCAGAGTGAAAATGTTTCCAAATAAATCCTACGTCAGTTTTTTTCCAGTGCAATTGAGATTTATGGACATTTTCCACCTCCTTTCTAACCTATGCATTAAACAGGCCGCTGTACCTTTAAGACTTGACCTCTCAGGGTCAAATATGTTAATGAGCTCATGGTTGTGATGTCATAATCACACTGATTTCTGAATGAGTCATTTTTGCTGTTTTTAGTTTCATTAAATACTCTTGTTCATTAAAAGTATGGCATTCGCATCATTACCGAAGCCATGTTTAATATGCATGCTATCCGTTACTGCGGAAACAATAACACAAATCTGCATATTAGACTATTAACTTCACCGCACACCACAGAAAATGAACGTCATGTGGTTGCAGGGGCAAATTAAATGCATATGTACAACTCGTATTTGCATATTCATGTGCACACATACATATTCATGTTGCACATTTGACTTGAAACTTGTCAAGAACATGTTTCCAGCTTATATTTCACCACAAATCAAAAGAAAGAAGTAAGACATTATATTTTGCTTACACAAAAGGAAGCCTATTTTCAGGACCATCAAGACAATTTTTTAATGAATAGGACTAAGACAATTATTATTTTTATGAAAGCATACTTTCATAAAAAATCTATATATTACATACAGCTTATGGCATGAAATAAATACATTAAAACAAAATTGCATCATATTTATATAGAATATAAATATTATAATAATCAATGCAAACAGGGTCATTTTAGTTAAGTTCATTTAGCATCATTGTGATAGTATAGGTTTTATTAATATTTTGAATGTTTTATATTTTCTGGTTTCATTTTAATTTGAAAGTTTTAGTAATTTTGTTGAGTGCTTTTGTCATTTTTATAAAAAATAAATGATTTCTTAATCATTTTTGTAGTTTTTATAAAAATAAATGATTTCTTATTAATAAAATAAATGATTTCTTAATCATTTTTTAAAAATCTCTCTATAGTTTTCAATAATTTACTATATTAACATATTAAGTAAATTAATATATTATAAAAATCTAATAGGGTTACTTTAAAAGGGATATTTTAGTTATTAGGTTATTTTGGTATCTCTGAGATAGAATTATTTAAAAAAAAATATTTTAAATAGTTTTTATTTTTATATTAAATTTTTTTATTTTAATTGTAGTTAAAGTTTTAATAATTTTGGTGTGTGCTTTTGTCATTTTTCTTGTTTTTTTAATGTCATATACAGTATATATATATATATATTTACTGTCGGCTGGTGAGCAGGCGGAAAATCACCTGTTCATGCTGGATTTATGAGTGTTGTCTCGATCGCGCCTCTGTCTTGTCAAGTCTCACAACAGCCAGTCATCCGTGACACACAAAACAGGCCGTACAGAAGTGGCCAGACCTGAGAGCGAGAGAGATGCCAGAGACCGATACATAAATGAGGCCTTTCAATCACTGCAGCAGCTCTGCATTATTTAAACAGCCAGTGAATGTTAATCTGCCTTTAGAGCCAGAGGCCAGAAACATGCAACCTGAACCTGAACGCCTGGCCAACATATTACACACAAAGCCATCATGACTTTTTGCATCACATTTTACTTGAATAATCGGCATACTAGTGTTGCATTATGAATTGTTTTCAGACACAATAAATTTGCAACCACACATTTAGGTAAAACCAAAAGCACAACATTTTTACATAAAGTTGGATTAAAGGGATAGTTCACCCAAAAATGAAAATGACCCCATGATTTACTCACCCTCAAGCCATCCTAGGTGAGGATCCTATATGACTTTCTTCTTTCAGACGAATACAATCAGAGTAATATAAAAAAATTTCCTGGCTCTTCTAAGCTTTATAATGGCAGTGAATGGGTGTTGAGATTTTGAAGCCCAAAACACTGCGTCCATCCATCATAAAAAGCGCTCCACACGGCTCCGGGGGGTTAATAATTATTAAAATTAATTTAAAGAGGACAATTTTAGTTATTTTAGTTATTAGGTTATCATCACAACACTATTGTAGGTTTTATAAAATTATAACAGGTAATATAATGAATTAGTATTTATTTTTATATTTTCTGTTTTCATTTGAATTGTACTTTAAATATTTATAATTTTGTTGTATATTTTTTGTCATTTTTCATATTTTTTGATATGTTCATATAGCTTTCATTAATTTATACATAAACTATATTAGGGTAATTTTAACAGGTTTATTTTAATATCACTGAGATGTATTATTAGTTTTTATTTTTAGATTTTCTGTTTTAATTTTAATTTTAAAGTTATAAAGTTTGTTGTGTGCTTTTGTCATTTTTCTTATTTTCTTTTTTAATGTCTAGTTTTCATAAATTTATACATAAACTATATTAGGATTAATTTAACGGGTATTTCAGTTATTAGGTTCTTTTAGTATCACTGAGATACTTTTATAGTTTTTATGAATATTTTGAATAAATTTTTTATATTTTTTGTTTTCATCTCATTTTTTAAGTTTTTAGTAATTTTGAGTGCTTTTGTCATTTTTTTTATTATTTTTTCTTATTCTTTATTATTATTATTATTATTATTATTATCTTATAGTCTTTAATTATGCACCATGGCAACTGACTGAAATAATTTTTTAATTAACATAAATTAACTGAAAAGCACTCACTGAACTAAATACGCAAAATAATGAGATAATGTGAAAATGTTATGTTACATAATGCATACTGTTTCAAACTATGAAAATAACATTATACAGTATGCTAAAGAAGTACGCTAGTATTCCTATCTGGTGAGAATAAAGCTAAAGGGAAATGTGACTGTGTTGCTGTGTAATCTGTGACTATGTGAATAATTAAAGCTGTCTTGCTTATCTCAAACAGATAAAACCCTGCTGCAAACTTTGCATAAACAAACAGCACAGCACAGAAATTCAGAAGTGACAGAAATACTGCTATAGATTTGTGCAAGAGTGAAAAACCCCTACAGATATCCAAAAGGCTGATAATTAAAATTCTTTAAACACATTCAGAATGAAACCAAAACTGACTTTGTTTGCCTTCTTAATACGTGTTTCCGGTCTCATTGTGAACCATGCTGAAGTATTTTCAATTAACTGAAAAGCACTCACTGAACTAAATACGCAAAATAATGAGATAATGTGAAAATGTTATGTTACATAATGCATACTGTTTCAAACTATGAAAATAACATTATACAGTATGCTAAAGAAGTACGCTAGTATTTCTATCTGGTGAGAATAAAGCTAAAGGGAAATGTGACTGTGTTGCTGTGTAATCTGTGACTATGTGAATAATTAAAGCTGTCTTGCTTATCTCAAACAGATAAAACCCTGCTGCAAACTTTGCATAAACAAACAGCACAGCACAGAAATTCAGAAGTGACAGAAATACTGCTATAGATTTGTGCAAGAGTGAAAAAACCCTACAGATATCCAAAAGGCTGATAATTAAAATTCTTTAAACACATTCAGAATGAAACCAAAACTGACTTTGTTTGCCTTCTTAATACGTGTTTCCGGTCTCATTGTGAACCATGCTGAAGTATTTTCTACGGTGACAGAGAAGTGCAAAGCAAATCACAATTCTGAAAACAAAATAACAAATTGCAAACGCAAATGCAAGTCTAAAAAACAAAATAACAATTCAGAAAGCACAACAACAATTCAAAAAACATTATAACAAGTCAGAAAACACAACGACAAATCAGACAAACCGGAAGAGGTAGGTATAGTTTGAGACAGCGCCATTGGTTTGGGATTACTCATCGCTGACTGGACGAGACATCTGTCAATCAAACAATACGGCGTATATATTTACATTTAGTTTAAAGTGGCTGTAAATCATCAGCTCCAGTGGCGCAGATGGATAAGCGCTAGTCGTTGGCATTTTGACGCAATCGACCCGGGTTCGATCCTACCTTTTGCCGAACTTTTTTTTCTCCCTTTTCAAATCTCGTATATTCGGGGGAAGGGTCCATAGACCCTCGTAATTGGCCATTTGGTTAGGTGATGGGGAGTTCGATATTATTTGTTAAATATAACAAAAAGTTGTGTGTCTGATTGGTCCAAATGCTACACCTGCTATTTTAACATAGTGTAACTAGGTATTTGCACTTGGTGTAAATAGAATCCATTGCTAATACGAGATTTGAAAAGGGAGGAAAAAAAAGTTCGGCAAAAGGCGGGGTCGAACCCGGGTCGATCGCGTCAAAAAGCAAAGGGCACACACTTTTCCATCTCTGAATGTCTAAATTAGGCCTAGGTGTCTACAAGCGTATTATTCCAAAAATATTTAGATGTTCTTTTTTAACATTTATTCATTAAATTTATATTTATTAATTTGATCCAAAACAAAGTAAAAACATTAAGCATTGTATCATATTGGGCCATATAACTCTTTATTCCTTTTAACAAAGGTACTATATGTTATTTGTTTTTAGCGTATTTGTACATTATGAAGCTTTAATACCTGATTTTAATACTTTTTTAAATTTGAGTATATATATATATATTAAAATGTAATTTAGTGTAAACTGTGATACATTTTATTTTTCAGGATTCACAGATGAATAGAAAGTTCAAAAGAACAGTGTTTATCTGAAATAGAAGTCTAGAAAATGTAACATTACAAATGTCTTTAATTTCCTAAAAAAACAACAACTTGGCGACCCCAAACTTTTGAGCAGTAGTGTATATATGTATATACTGTATATTGCTTATTGCACATAAAAAAAAAAAATTATTGGCCATAACATAACAAAAAAAAAAAAATATATATATATATTGTGCATCCCTATTTCAAATATGCTTGTTATGATTTATGTTTAGCAGTTGGTCAGTATTGCAAGTCCTTAATGTGAATCAGATATCAGCATCGTGGTGGTGGATCTCCTGCAGGAGCTGACCGACATCGACACGCTTCACGAGAGCGAGGAGGGGGCCGAGGTGCTCATCGACGCTCTGGTAAGGAAATATTTATTTAATAATCAGAGAATACACATCATCAGTGGCGTTACAGGAGATTATGTGCTGATTCACCAGCATTAGCAGGTCACGGTCCAGCGGCACAATGAGATTATTATGAGAAAATGACATGAATTACTGCTGCGAGAAATGTAGCCTGACGTTTGCGAGAGAAGCAGAGAGCGACGACGTTCATATCCAGACTGTTGTTGAGGTTGTGCAATCACGGCTTGTGTCAGATGGAGCAGAGGAAACTGGAAGAGCTTGTGAACAATCAGAGGCTGATTGAACCGCATGCGTCTGATTGCTGCCGTTTAGTGTTTGTGTTGTGCAGTCGAGCAAAAGCATTTACACATCTGAATAACTGTTTATATGGCAGCTCAACAAACACGGTACAAAATGGGGCTTGAAATATATTTAAAAAAAAAGATTGTTAAATATACATAAAAAAAAAAAAAAGTATATATATATTAAAATACATATAATTTATTATTAAAATATATTTAAAAAAAATGTATACAATGTATTAAATTGATCAACAGTGCCAGTAAAGACATTTATAATGTTACCAAAGATTTCTATTTCAAATAAATGCTGTACTTTTGAACTCTATTCATCAAAGAATATTGGGCAGCACAACTGTTTTCAACACTGATAATAATCAGAAATGTTTCTTGAGCAGCAAATCAGCATATTAGAATGATTTCTGAAGATCATGTGACACTGAAGACTGGAGTAATGATGCTGAAAATACAGATTTGATCACAGAAATAAATGTAATTTTAACATATATTCTCATAAAAAACAGCTATTTTAAATTGTAATAATATTTCACAATTTTACTGTTTTTACTGTATTTTTTTGATCAAATAAACGCAGCATTGGTGAGCAGAAAATAAACTGATAATCAGTGAATGGACATGATAAACCTTTAGATGCTGATCATCAACCACAGAAGCTCTATGGCATGTGGCTAAATTTAGTTTCAAACTCTGATTTGTGATCATTTTCTAGCATTAGCCTAAATAAATGCCTTCATGTTTTGATGTTTGTTGAATGGTTTTCATGTGTTTGTTTAGTTGGAGGGTCAGGTCGTAGCTCTCATGGTGCAGAATATGGAGCGTTTGGACGAGACGGTGAAGGAGGAAGCTGATGGAGTTTATAACACTTTAGGTAAGTCACACACTAACCAACACGCATAAACTAGTCCAAAGAGCAGGCTTCAATCTGATTGGCTGGAGTCAGAGCACACTGGTTTTCATCGGTTCACTGGGAAACAAATAGTGTGTCCGAAATCGCATACTGTCTGAGTAGGTACTACATTTGAATTTGAACTTACTTCACAACCATTAAAAAAGGGTGTTCTATGAGTAGTATGAATGAAATTGGTTACCGTCATGTGACCTCCCAGCGTGAGTTCGGTGCTTCGCTGCCATTCATAAATCCTCTCCTGTGGCCTCATGGGATAGTAAAGTATCCATCAGATGCGCACTTCAGAATCTCGGAGGAAGAAGTAGTTACCTCTTTGCCAACCATTTTTCAAATTCTGTGTAGTAGGAAAATAATCAATTCCGGACACTGCAAAAGTTGTTTACACGTTCCCAAACTACAACAGATGACAGCTAAACTCTGGTTTTGCCAAGCTTGTCTTTGAAAAATATTCTGAGATTTATTTTCCATACTTTATTTAATAAAAAAAACATTCCAGTAGCTCAAGCAGTGAAGTATGATGCTATCAATGCCAAAGTCATGGGTTTATTATTTATTTATTTTGATAATGCATGAACTGATAAAATGAATACCTTGAATGCAGCGCAAGTTGCTTTGGATTAAAGTGTCTGCCAAATGTCCTGTGGTCTGATGAGACCAAGATAAACTTATTTGGTTCAGATGGTGTCAAGCGTGTGTGGCGGCAACTAGGTGAGGAGTACAAAGACAAGTGTGTCTTGCCTACAGTCAAGCATGGTGGTGGGAGTGTCATGGTCTGGGGCTGCATGAGTGCTGCCGGCACTGGGGAGCTACAGTTCATTGAGGGAACCATGAATGTCAACGTGTTCTGTGACATACTGAAGCAGAGCATGATCCCCTCCTTTTGGAGACTGGGCCGCAGGGCAGTATTCCAACATGATAATGACCCCAAACACACCTCCAAGACGACCACTGCCTTGCTAAAGAAGCTGAGGGTAAAGGTGATGGATTGGCCAAGCATCTCTCCAGACCTAAACGGAAGGTGGAGGAGCGCAAGGTCTCTAACATCCACCAGCTCCGTGATGTTGTCATGGAGGAGTGGAAGAGGACTCCAGTGGCAACCTGTGAAGCTCTGGTGAACTCCATGCCCAAGAGGGTTAAAGCAGTGCTGGCAAATAATGGTGGCCACACAAAATATTGACCCTTTGGGCCCAATTTGGACATTTTCACTTAGGGGTGTACTCACTTTTGTGGCCAGCGGTTTAGACATTAATGGCTGTGGGTTGAGTTATTTTGAGGGGACAGCAAATTTACACTGTTATACAAGCTGTACACTCACTACTTTACATTGTAGCAAATTGTCATTTCTTCAGTGTTGTCACATGAAAAGATATAATAAAATATTTACAAAAATGTGAGGGGTGTACTCACTTCTGTGAGATACTGTATATGTATAAAAAATATGTAAAATAAAACAAGTCTTTTTATGAGGGAGAAAATGGCTGAATGCTTCTCTAAAGCTGTTTTGTGTGTTAGAAAAACTGCGTCTGGCTTGAGTTTGCAGGTTTGGTTCTGGAAAGATCCTGTTCTGCTGCAGAGAGAGATAAATGGTCTGACTGAACGGATAAGCTGTACACTCACTACTTTACATTGTAGCAAATTGTCATTTCTTCAGTGTTGTCACATGAAAAGATATAATAAAATATTTACAAAAATGTGAGGGGTGTACTCACTTCTGTGAGATACTGTATGTGTATAAAAATATGTAAAATAAAACAAGTCTTTTTATGAGGGAGAAAATGGCTGAATGCTTCTCTAAAGCTGTTTTGTGTGTTAGAAAAACTGCGTCTGGCTTGAGTTTGCAGGTTTGGTTCTGGAAAGATCCTGTTCTGCTGCAGAGAGAGATAAATGGTCTGACTGAACGGATTTAAATGGCACATTTCCTCCATGTCTTCCTCTTTCCCTGTCTTCCTCTGCTGTTCCAGTTCTTGTGTAATCTCTTTCCCTTCCTCATGAGATTTCGCACCCTCTCTCTCTCTCTCTCTCTCTCTCTCTCTTTTCCTCCCACTCATCACTGTGAGATTTTTCTCCCATCATGCCTCTGATTGAGTTATCAGGTGTCCTCAGAGTCTTTTATAATACAGATGAGTTTCAAACTCCCTTGTGATGTGTCATATAGAGCTGTTCGCTCTGCTCGCTCTTTCCGTCTTTTTGTGCGTCCGGGGCTCGACAATGAGGGTTTTTTTCTGCTGGTCTGGGCTGTAGTTCAGATTTTTACTCACGCTGGTGACATTTTCTCAGGCCCTAAGGCGAAAGCAAGGTTTTTTTTAGAAACCTATTTTTAAATGGTGTCAGAAGCAAAGAATATTCTTATTAAAGCAATAGTTCACCAAAACTTTAGCTCTTTTCCATACAACTGCAGTTTATGGTGACCATGTGTGTCGAACAAAAATGGACAGCAAAAATGCCATAAAAGTAGTCTTTTATCGTGTGCTTTATCCCAAGTCTTACGATCGCTTCTAGTGAGGAACTCGACCCCAAAAAAACCCCCCCCCTTTTCAGTATAAACTACTCAAATGTGTAATAATAAACCACATAGTATTTCCAAAGACATTATATATTATGTTGATATAAATTTTTGAAATGCAAGTTTAAAATGAATAAAAAATATAAAAACACATGATATAAAAATATGTAAAATAAATGTGTATTTTATATATGTACCATCAAAAATGTTATATTGTAGACCCACAGCCTTTTCTGAGTCATGCATTTATTTATGCTTTTAAGGATTTTTGCATTA